GGGACACGTATAGGGTCACCGGTGTAAGTGCGAAGAACAGAATTGCAAGCGGATAAGTTCGGGAGCGTTTTTACAGCGTTTTCCCGGATTATCGTCACGGATGTTCCTGTATCGATTTCCATCTGTACCTTTTGACCTTCAATGTAAAGCGCTAGAGTGTATGGCGCCGGCTGCATGCTAGAAACGGAATTAAGCCAAATGGAATGTAATTCAGTGTTGCTACCATCAGACTCGTCCACAGTTTTGATGGGATTTGCTCCTTGATAAGCCCCACCCGAACGTCGCTTGACCGATCTACACACTCGCGCCAGGTGGCCCACCTTCCCGCAGCTTCGACATACTGTCTTCTGATGCCGGCAGTCGGATGGACAACAGTGCTGCTCACCACAACGATAGCACACAAGCAAATTGACGCCAGTGGGTGGCTTTGGTTTTGGTGTAGTGTTGATCAATCGCAGCTCATCTGACGAGTCCTTCAGCGTAAATGTTGCGAGTTGTTGTGTAAGGTGTTCCCTTTGCCGGGCAATCGAGCAGGCCGTCTCCCAGATCAGTGAACAATCATCTTGTGAAAGGAGCTTCTCCCGCGTGCTCTGGTCTGAGATCCTGGCCATCAAACATTGGAGTAACATGGTCTCTTCAAATCTCGTTGGATCGACTTCATTGTATTTACAATCAGGTGCTGCTTGTAGTACACGAGCGATGAACTCGTTCACACTCTCATCTGGTTTCTGGAAGAGTTTCGAGAAGTAGTATCTAGCCGTAAAAACATTCTGACGAGCACCCCAAGGAGCACTGAAGGTTTCCAAAGCGCCAGTTATCGTAGAAGAGATTTGATCAATACGAAGTGCATCGAAATACCTTTGACCCTCATCTCCAAGAAACTGTCTCAAAGAGCTTCACTTTGTTTTTCTCAGTAAGAGCTACTGCTGGATTCAAGATTGGAAGCAATTCCAAGTAATCCGTAAAGGTTTTCCGCCATCTATGCCACGAGTCCAGGGAAGGTTTGTCGGTAGAGCACGACCAGAAGACCGGTGGAGTATTTGTCATGGACATGTTGACCGCGTCGCCAAATATCACAGCTGGACTCTAAACGCAAGTACGTATTTCCACTCGTAGCGAATAAGCAAGAAGACGCGTCAGTCTGGCGCACAGTGTACTGAACACTTAACGGTTTACATGTAAGCACGGAACGTTAGGGTGCGTCCTTGAGTGCGTGTGTGCGTGCTTATCTACATGTGTGTGTAGGGCCAATCAGGTTCACGGTCATAGTGAGCGATCATTGGTTGGACACGTAACGTGGCTGCAAGATACGAGCTCCATGCTTACCCTGAGTTCCCTCACATACGACACTAGCCTCACATTCTCAGTGCGCCTGTCTGGCGATGATGCAGCTTCAAATGCCGGCCAAGCTGGCGTCGGCCCTGTTTTGAGTCCCCGGGCTGAAGCTGCCCTGATCGACTGAATCCCAGTCAACATCCGGATGTGCGCCGTTAGTTTGGCTGTCTCGTTTCTGGTTTCAAAATAGTGCAGGGACAAACGGTGCCTGTTTCTCATTGCGGCTCTCTCCCCCACAAAATGCAGTCTTCATTCGGTGCAAGGTGATTTCCATCAGAAACTTAACGATCTCAATCGTTACAGCAGAAGCACCGATACTGTGGTGCTTGCTGGTGCCCTAAACGCCAAAGTCGGACATTTGTCCTCTGATGAGCATCATCCGGCCAGCCAACATGATGTAGGCTCCCGTAATGATACCGGACAGCGGTTGCTACACCTATATGAAGATGCTCGTCTCATTTTGCGAGCACAAACTGGACATAGCACCCGCAGAAGCGTGTCTTGGCGGCCACCAGCCATGGAAGCAAATAAATTATATCGCGATCAGTTACTACTGGAGAAGCTGTGTCCAAAAATGTCGCTCGCTTTGAAGCACGAGTGTGGACTCTGACCACGCACTTGTTTGCGCCGACCTCTAGGTGCGTTCCCGTGGACGTCCGCAACGTCGATGTGAACCGATTGACACCAGCCAGCTGGCGAAGCCAGGTGTTCTGTATGTGTATCAAAGTGCGCTGACCTCCGGGCTGAATAAGCTCCCACTGAACACCGTCGAAGATCATTGGTTGCATATTCGTCAAACGTTTCTATCAGTAGGCATGTCTTCATGTGGCAAATCCAATTGTCAACCTAGACATTGGGTCTCTACACAGTCTCTGGAACTTATGGATGCTGGCCGACATATTCCGTCTGGTAGCGAATACAAAGGGCCTGGCAAAATTCTCAGGGCAAAACTGCGTACTAGCCTGAAGAGAGACCGCAAAGCCTGGTGGTCTCATCTTGCCTCGGAGACGGAAACAGCCGTTTTCTTTGGAAATCATCGTAATTTATTCCGTCTGATACAGGAAACTGGCAACAGGAGACTTGGTGCTAGCGACACCATACGCGACGAGATTGGGCAGCTGATCCACAGCCTGCCAAAACGATTGGAGCGTTGGGCTGAACAGTTTTCAAGGCAATTTACCCAACCTGAGTTTCCGCTTTCTTCTTCAGGCATTGAGCGCCCTTCTCCCTGGGCCGTCTCCCTGGATCCGCCCTCACGCGCAGAAGTCGAACATGAGATCAGGCTGTTGAATTTGCATAAAGACGCAGGGGCAGAGAGAATTCCCCCAGCCCTCTTCAAATTCTGGGGACCTGCTCTAATAGATGATGTACACGAGTTGCTTGTGAAACTTTAGGAGCAGGAGACTGTCCCGACAGATTGGTACCGCTTCGACATTGTCCCAAATTTCAAGGGAAACTCCCGTTTGGAATGCAGCAATGATAGAGATATCAGTCTGATTTCGACTGCCTCTAAATTGCTTGCCTCTGTCATCCTCCCCAAACTGACTGGCACTCGTGAAAGCCAGATTTAGTCGAGGTCGGGCTGCATCGACCACATCTTCACCACGTGCCAATTGTTGGAGCACCGCCATGTTTATTGGTGACCCACCGTTGTCGTGTTTCTTGACATAAAAGTTGCCTTCGGCTCAGTCGATCGACGTGCCCTCTGGGACTGTCTGCTAAGGAAAGGTGGGCCTGATAAATACGTACATATTATCAAAGCGCTGTACGCGCATAGTTCGGACAGAGTGAGGGTTTATGGCAAAATGTCACCGCCCTTCAGTATCACCAGCGGTGTGAAACAAGATTGCCCGCTGTCACCTTTCCTCTTTAAGTTTGCTATTGATGAAGTCATGGAAACAGCGTTCGCTGGAAACGACCTAGAAGGTGTGGAGCTACTTCCTGGTGAGCGACTTCTTGACTTAGATTATGCGGACGATATTGCCCTAATCTGTGACAGCTCCCAACGTGCCAAGCAGCAATGGACCGAGTAGCACTGGCTGTCAATCGTTTTGGGCTATGCTTTGCTCCATCGAAATGCAAATTACTTCTCCCAGATTGGCAGGGACCCAACCCTGCGCTAACGCTTTGTGGTGATCTGCTAGAAGTCGTTCAGGAATTCAAGTACATGAGCAGCTATATTAGAGCCCGTGTGATCGAAGACGAGGTTTCGAACCGTAGGGAAAACTCGAGGTGCTTTTGCCAATCTCCGCCACCTGTGGCGCAGACGCGGCATTACTCTCGCCCTGAAGAACAGAGTTTTAACGCAGCCGTCCGTTCAACTCTCCTGTGTGGTTGTGAAACCTGGCGCATCAGGTCGACAGACATAAAGTGGCCCGTCACATTGGAGCATCGCTGCCTTCGCAACTTCGCTCATATCTGGTGGGAGTACCGCGTGAGCTATGAGAGTGTTCGGCGTCGCGTATTTGGTGCAGGAAGAGCGAGTGAACCGTTCAGCACCATTCTATCACGCACCAGGCTCCGATGGCTGGGCCACTCGTTGCGCAAACCAGCACACTGACTTCCGCGTCATGCATTGTTTGCGCGTTGTGGGTGCTACTGGAAGAGGAGGAGGGGAGGCCAAGCGATGACTTGGTCGAGAGGATTGTAAATGCTCACGTCGATGTTGGCGTCGGTTGGTGCATCCCGACTACTTGGCTGGGGTCTTAAGGACGATGAACACGTTTGGTTGGACACACTTGCTGATATGGCTTGGAGCCGGCCCCAGTGGCGCTTGGGTTGCAAGTTTCTTTTCCACTCCTCTCTTCTAGATTCCCCTTCCAATTCCCATCTCCTACGAGTTGCATAATATAATAGTTAACGTTCTATTACCTATCTTTTAATTATTTTGTAGTGTAAGTTTTATATATCTTACCTTTTTGTATTGCGGCATATTTGCTGAGGTGTGTTTCTCACTCTCAACTAACGTGCATTGATGACGATGACGCAGTCTCATCAGCAGCACCTACTAGCACTGGCTGCTGTTTATCTGAAAGCACGTAAATCGTGACTATTTCCTTCGCGTGGAACATTTCAAGTTTCCTGGACTGGTCTGGCTCGAACTCCAACTCCGCAACTTATCTAGTGATATTAGGTTTAGATACAAGGAACTGATGATTGACATTGTGACATCACGAAACATCGACCGGGTACTTCGCACTACACCCCACTCGGAGTTGAAGTTGACCGGCTGCGGACATGTGTATGGTACTCAGGTCGTAGGTTCTCCAGTAAAAATTGACCACTCGATATTCATAGTCAACATGCAGCCACTGCTGTTGTATTCTCGTCCGCTAGAGGCATCCTGTAACTGCTGGAGAACACAATTCCAAAGTCTTACTATGGTCAGTGAGTCGGGTGTTTTGGCTACCATTATAAGTGGTAACTGTAGAAGCATATCTGCCACTTACAAAAGAGAGAATGAATTGGCTGTATGTCAGAACTTTGGACCGGTTAAGCTACATTGGTTCGATAAGGCGTGTAGTAAACTGGCTTGTTAGCTGCTCAGGTTATGAGACAACTTACCCATCTCTGAACCTGCGGGCGGTTAAGAGTCGTGCAGCAAAAAATAAAATACATGCAACGGAGTCACGCGGCGCGTACAACAGTTCGCTGGTACGACCCACCAGAACATAATCGATGAAAAGCTTAGGTTTTAATTTACGAGCTTTCTGGACTTGCATTAACAATTGGCTGTTTGTTTTATCTCCTTGGATATTGGGGCTCCAATTTCAAAAACCTTTATCTGGTCGATGTTATTGTCGCAGATTGGTACCAAGTTACGCGATCTTTTGCTTGTTTACTCTGGAGTTCGTCGATACACGTGCTTCTATATCGCACTACCCTCCATGAATCATCCGGGCTTGTGTAGACATGTTTACGTACATCCGTGTATGGACTGCGCGGTTTGACGGCACACAAGGCTGACTACATGCTGTGTTGTTGGCTTGTTTAGGTGCAGTTTAAAAAAAACACGAACATCACAACCACACATACACTGCACATTTAGCAAATAATTACCACATAGGACGGAGCTGTGACGCGTGGCTTCTAAACTGTTTTTATCCAACGACTGTTGTTAACTCCAGATCATACTGCACTCTGTTTCAGGGTTGGAAACAGCTGATGGCAATGGAAAGAAAATTATGCGACCAGTGGATTAACATCAAGGAAATAAAGCATAACCTCACTCTGAATGACATGCACATTATAGCGAAATATATGTGTTCACCCACCTCATATTAGGAAGGCATATATCTGCAGGTGGGTAATGGTATTACCTATTCATGGTTGTGTCAGGCTACATTAAACAAACGCTTTGTTCCAACTGTCCCATCCCTGCACTCCACAACGCCTTTTGTCCTTGTTTGCACTCATCTGGTAGAGTGAGCCTGAGATGGGAGTAGAACTCAGCACATAATGATTGTTGGTAATCACCATGATAACTAGGCCATTGAGCCTCCTGGAGTGCAGGGATGGGAGAGAGCCACACCGAAATCCTCCACTTCGGTTGTGGTCCAAGTGATCGGAATGGCAGAGGCTGGATTCAAACTTGATCGAGGCCACAATTGAGATTGCGTGTCGTAATCCAAGACCCACGGCGGGTGCTTCAAAGCCCAGTAACCAGTTTCTTTAAACTTTCATCTGGCGCTAAGAATCTTTGTGGTTTATCTTCTGCATCATTGGGCCTGCTCTGCATCATTCTGTGCGATGGACACACCTGTCAAATGCGCTCAGTTCCGCGGGTATACCAGTTAAACACAGCTGCTATAGTTGCAGTTATTTGTTTAATACTAAATTGAAAACTGACTGCTGAAGACAAAGAGTTGGAAGACATACATCTGTTTCTTCATCGATATACTATGGGGCACGCACGAGGAATAACGTCCTTTATTACCGCGCACTCTCAAAGCAGTTCGGCTGTGCGACGTCCTACTCAGATGCGATGCGATCTCAGATTCTGTAGTCCGTAAAATGGGCAACTAGGAACTTCTTACCTCAGGACACCGATTTTGCCTCGTATATTGTCTCGGACAAACTGCTCCAATGTTTCACCACTCGACACTTGAAGCATAGACTGTGAACGGTATGCTTCAGATCCGGTGCCAAAGGCTTGTACCTGTGCCCCGGAGTGCTGCTTGATGAGCGCACCTGCAGCAGCGTCCTCATCATGTAGAAGTCAACCAGATGTAGTAACTGGTGTGCTATTATGAAGCCCACTAGAAACTAACGATAAAACAGGGCGTACAGGGCCATTCTCTTGCGTATACCTTCATACAACATATTTCGCAAAATGGAGATGAGGCTGGAAGCGATATGCTTGACAAGTTCCCATTTTTGCACCTTGCCACGTGTGGTCGGGCGATAGGCGGATGAGCCGTACTACAGCATTGCCCCTGTGTTGTAAGAGAACTGACAAACGGCAGTCTGTTCAGACAAAATGCAGAGGCTTCGTTTGAGCGCGCAGAACATGCGCAGTCCATTATGATACAGTCGGCCGGTGGCTGAGTGTTCTGCTCCCCTGGTTTACAACCATAAGGTCACCGGTTCGAATCTGCGTAGAGGTGGGCGTCCTCGCGGTACACTCAACGCACGCGCGACGTGGTGACCGCGTGGCAGCGAAGCGCCGTTACGGCCTACAGCTGGCGATTTAATTTTATCGATTACGATACAGCTTTTCCGTGTTGTCCAAGGACTTCAAATCGCAACGTAAGATCTTCCACAGAAAGCGTGGGATGTGACAGATTTCCGGCCGGAACGTACCTACGTCCATCACCACTCTTCCTATGGCACAACTAACAGTTTGTCCGGATTGATGAGTAACATGCATCTACTTTTATTTGTTTTAATGGATGACGCTGGTGGGTTTCCATTTTTGGAGCTGTTAATCTGCAAAACCGCATAGAATTGCAGTGTCAGGTGTTCAGTGGACCTGCAAAATGTAGGACAAATACGCTGAATAAGTTCTGTTTGTTCGGACGAATACCACACATGTGACCCCAGCGCCAAGAGTCGCTGTATGTGAGTTGCCACCTAAGCCCTTTAGAGTAACTGGGATGAGACTGGTCTGTCTTACCTCCTCACCCGTTCTTTTCAATTTAATGATCCAAATAATTATGAATGAGTTGCTGCGGTCTTTTACACTTCCGTAGAAGAGGTGATGTGTTATGACTGATTAACTAACCTTGAACGCGCTGATGACCCAATTGCTATTCAACTGCTACTAGCACCACACATTACACCTACACATTGAAGTGTGCCATTACAAAACATTGGGCTAACACAACACTGTTTTCCACACGTTTATGACATTCGATCGAATAGGTCTATTGGCTCATTTAGCTGGGCAGCTAAGTCATTCTCCACAACCTACCGCAATAACTGGTAAATCTCGTTTGTCATTTTCCAAGTCCTACTGACTTATGGAGATATGGGAAGCCATATTATTTGTCGAACGATTAGTTTAGTAGATTCCGATGAGACAAATCGTGGATCAAAGGCTTGACCACCATGCTGTAAAGACATAAAAATCCAGCGTATTTGATCACGGTTGTTTGCGGGTTGCTGTATATACGTGGTAAAGGTCCCGAATGACTGATATTACGTTCCTCCTCTTGTGTTTATCAATAGATCTCTTGATAGTAGATTTCAGAGTGCGTTCTACACTACGATCGTCTCCACCGGCTCCGTCATGTTTTCCGTGGGACTGGCAGCCGGCCACCATGGAGTGTGGTGTTTCCCGATATTGCGGCTGGTTCGGAAATACTCGCAGGATGGATAGACCGGTTTGGTTCCTGTTGGGGTCAGCAACTGGACGTTGCTGAGCCACAAACTCGGAATCAATGTTGCATTTCTTCGTTCATTTTCCTCGGACCACTTCGATACATGTTGATTCCACTGGAGTCGTTATTATTATTAGGCGTATTTTGTTGTTGTTATTGATTTTATGATTTTTGTACCGTGATCCGAAACAACCGGGTACACTGCACCTCAATTCACAGCCCACAGTTAATCCGCCGACTGTTCTGGACAACCTCGATGAACTCTGCGGATTCAGGTTTAGGTTTGTTCTCCGAGCTGAACTATTTCGTTGCAGACGTTCCATCACCAGTCGAGGTGACTTCGTGTTACTGAACGACGACTCTTAGAAGAACGCAGCGTTCGGCAAGTAGCGCACGACAGCAGAACGTGTCAGTTTCCACAGTACTTAGAATGTATTATGTCTCGCCATAAACACAGCGCTTCGTATAAGTTAAGACACTCTAATCGGTGGTTGACTTGGTGTTACCGGACACACATATTGACGCTGATCGATCCAGCCAATAGGAAGACAGTTTAAGCGATGATTAGCTTGATTTTGGACTGACACACCGCCTTAGCGAGATACAGCAGATAAGTGAACTCAGCTAGCGCAGATGCCACGTTTCCTCAGTGTTTAGTAAGCAAACTGACTGGTTTGTCAACCCTTGACTTGGGCTTACCCAGAGACAAACACCACTTGTTCACAGTTAGCTCATAGATAGGTCTTATACTAGTTTCTTAGCGGGCACTGTTTCCCCTATTCAAATGCAGTAAAGTTAATCTCCCCTTTCATCAGAACAACCTTACATTCAAAACATCAATCACCTCTGTAAACATTTCTTTTGCAGAGGAATGTTTACCCTCACCAGGTGCATACAGTACATACTTTGCTTGGATTAACTGTCTGAATTTTGCTCCACCCACCTGTCACGTTTCCATGATATCGCCTTTAATATTTCATTTTCAGGCGGAAAGAGAACTGCAGAAACGCATCACCCAACCTACGGAGCTCCAAGAGGCCAGGCCTCCCACAGTGGCTCAACGTCGGTGGGTGAGCGTTTGCTTTTCTTATCATTCGTGCCATGCAAACTAGCCGACTTTCCAAGTGCAAAATGGACTGCGCATAAGTGGAGTTTGACGTTGGAGAGCCATTTCAGAAGTGTTGTGAGACACAAAGTCACATTATATCATCAACATTGATATTCTTGGTTCCATGCAACCTTGTCGTTAGACGCTTATCATGGAGTAATTCACCCGAGTAACCTTCACATGCTACACATACGTAGCTGTTGTGAGTGGGAATCGTGACCTCTGGAGACAAGCCACTGTCTTCTCTAAGAGCAGTATTACAGACCTTTGGACTGTTCAAGCATGTCCTCGTTTCCTCCCCTACTTGTTTTAAGGTCTTTCCCAACCCTATAGTTGAAGCAACTCTGTCTTTATGATCAGTTCTAACCGTTGCTATTCATTCACTGACAATCGCACATCATGAAGTAGCGCATTGATGAATACTCAGGCCTTCATATATGCTCGTGCCTGGATCTCGTTCCTTCTGTTCACCCATAAAGACTGCATAATAATTGATTAAACTATCGATCCTCTTAATTTAAATCGTGTCTGGTTGGATCGCTTACTCAACTGTGACTGATTGCAATTCATTTGTCTGGAACTTCCTTATCGTTTCGTTTGACGGCCGATCGTATTTTAGTAACAGAATTATACAGTTTGTGGCGGATATTATCGTGGTTAGTTTAAATTTTTTGACGTAATCTTTTGTAAAGTACCACCTAGTGCCCTTTCGACTTTAACTTTTGAATGGATACGGGAATTTTTCACGTCGCTCGAATCAACTACCGACCTGCCGATAACAGACAGTAACCTGCATGGTAGTGGAGAATGGGTCGCGCTGTATCCCAGTTAGCTTGCAAGTTATAACAAATCCCCGCCGCACCCTATGGTTTAGTGGCATTAGCTGCTGGCTAGTTGCGCCAGCTACTTGCGACTATAGGTTCAGCTCGTGGTGTAGCCAGAGCATGCGCATTACTAACCTGTCCGAATAGGGCGGAACGGCCGCCTTGTGTTCATCCTGGATCATTGGTTAGACTACCTAGTTTGTTAGCAATCGAGACGATTCAGTAACATCTGGTCAAAAACCCATGCACATTAGTAGTCAGATAAATACGGCCTTTCATGTTGGTGTTAAAGTTTAAACATAAACACAACTAATCCAACTTTACTTCGACCATGTTAAGACTTCGTGGAACTCGTGCACCCAATATTCCATCAACATGAATTACTAGTCTGCGGGTTCATCTATCGTGGCAGGCCAACAGCATGTACTACTGCGTCAGTAGTCAGTAGCATAGAAGTACCAGGAAAATCAGACGGTGCTAAGCCAAGAGCGGACTATGCCCACGCCCCAACAGACAAAAACGGTTAAAAGTCGCAGATTTTTGTGCAGTAGAAATAGGAGGAGAACCAGCGCATGCCACTCAACCTCGTGGAAAATTCGCAAATAAATCTAACGATTCGTCGACATGGCTGGTGCATCTATTTGATGATATTTGCCCCAATCATTACCTGTGTTCACACCTTGAGTTTGTGCGCGACCTGTTGAACGTCGCTGTGTTAGGTTTTTATACGTAGACCATCAAGACACGTCTGTCGCTTTACTAGGAAGTAAACCTCTGTCACTCTAACCATCGCATTTGCATCCGAAATTGGTTGCTGGTTTTAGTTGCTCCAGAAACTTCACTCTACGACAAGTTTTGGCTTGAGTTGAACTTTTCAGTTAGCGATAACCGGAGATGGGTGTGAAACCCCTGACTTAGTGCCTGATGACTGGTACCTTACTCACTACGCTATTCATCTTTATTATCCCCATTTGAAATGTTCAGACAAGGACGCAACTAGACGTTGGGTAATGTCCGGTGGGAACAAAACCACAAGCTTAAGGCCAACATCAACTGGGGCTACATACCCACCACCATGTGATTCAATCATCTGGGATCTCTGTCGCACATCAAACAGCCTTGTGATCCACATTGTTGCACAGTCCTGTAGCTGTTTCACACGGTTTTTGAGCCAGATTATGGATTAACACTGAGGTCAGCAAGCTTATATGCCACAAAAGGTCATTCCGGAAGTACTAGGAGGTACACTAGACCGAAGGTTTTTTTCAGATGCATCAAGATAAACAAAATGCTCAGGGTTAAGTGGTCTAATGCATAAGCTAAAATATTGAACTTTTGTGATAACACATTTCGCGTCGGAATGAAGCTTAAGTTTTGTTAGTGGAATGAGAGAAACGAACAATGTTATGGTTGGGAGGTACGTCTGTTTACAACATTACATTCATTATGAATGTCGGCTTTCTACAAGTCTGAGATCAGTTGCAGAAACTTAGTTCTAAGGCTGAACTAAGAACTGTGCTCCCGCAAAGAGATGGTAACCGAGAAAGCCTTGATTAACATCATTTCACCGGTTCTCGAATGTCACGTATCCCATAGCTTAAACCCAACTCTACCTTGTAACCATTCCACTAAGTCGTATTTCGTGGTGAATAACTAAGGTTGTGTTAGGCCAAGCGAAATGCTAATTCGGCTGTATATAATCTAAAGGTCCGAAGTTACCGACTTCTGGATATTTGTTACGGGTGAGGAAGACGATTGTCTGATTCTCCATTGGTTGTTGGAAAATAAATTGCAAAGAATAAAACTAGTTTTGCTGCGAAACCTCAAGGGGACAAACAACGCACGGAGTAGTCATTTGGTGAAGATGCTGAAGAAGGTTGCTCCGGTTGTAACGGCCGTTTGTGCATCACTTCTTGCGTACAGCCGACGGTATAATGACCCACTCTTCCGCATCCGACACAAAAAGGATAGTTACATTGCCTACAACTACTTACGCGACCGTATTGCACCTTTATATATAGGCTATGGGTTGCTAGGCTGTGGTTGTGATTAAACTAATAGATGCTCACCCTTGAGATCTATGTCTCCCAGAATGTGATATAATCATGTGAGTTTGTCGTTGACGATTTCCGCTATATTTGAGCGGTAGCTCTTCTCTCTTAATTAGTTGTCATGGGGTGATTATGTAGGTTGCTATTCCTCGAGATTGGTACAACACGCTCGGCGTCCGTAATGTTTATACGCCTCTCATTCTTATAGAATCGCACCATGCGAACCTCCACATGACAGACCAAGGGGTTGGTTGGTGTTTTTGAGGTACTCGGATTAATTTCTGACAGCCAGTGTTCTGTGCAAATCTTCGTAACTTCTTTCACGTGAGGAGCACTGCAATTCTGTATCTTAGATGTACCCAACCCTTTTTACATGACCACATCGAATCGGGCCACACGTTGAGCCGGCCACACGCACTGTTCGTTATGGATACCCTGTGGTATTTTGTGATCAGCTGATGTTTCTCCATATATTGTGCCACTCATTGAAGAGCAAGCGAAGCTTTTTACTACGCCACAACTAACTTCCATCAGAGTGAACATAGACTGAGTAACTCTCACGTGCAGCCACGTCCGAAAGAAACGCAATATCAAAAACAGAACAAAGCTGGAAGGTGAGCCGTCAGAGCACGATTAATAGGTCCGGCACAATTGCCTTGGTTGTAATTAGTAGCAGCCATCTCTCCTTACCAATTTGGAAAACAAGCAAATTGCGCTGAGCGTTATTGAAAGAACCTATATCAAAGTGTGCCCATCTTCATGTCAGCCATCTGATGTTCTCAGAAGTGTCCTCCGCACCAACGTCGCCGAGCTAGCGTAGTGGCATCATCGGTGATGCTTGTACTGTTCCTCATTGCCGCAATCAGTCATCAGTTCATTTTTCGAGGACAAGAAGTATAACACTGTGCTACATTCAGCTCTACTGTACAGAACACAGATAAGAGGACGACGCGTTAGCGACACCAGCGGGGTGACCGTGGCACTGCACATAGCTAATCGCAGCGCCAGTTGTGTCTAACAGGAGCCACGTTCTCCTGCTGGGGGAATTCAGTTTTAACGGCCTAGAAACCCCGGCCAGTCTGGGTGAACAATTCAAGGCGCAACTGCAAGAGCCACTCGCTGGTTCACCGCTGTCCAACGCGTTTCAGGACAGGAAACAAGCCGGCCATCTTGGACCTCCTTTTGAACAACGAGGAACTGATAATCGACGTAGTAACGAGGTGTACTCCTTTGGACCGCAACAATCACGCGACACTAGTGTTCCAATAGTTGTGCTATGTAGAGTATCTTAAAGAAATTAATGAGGAATCTTACCACATAATCAACTATGATAACCTATCCGAACTCATTGGTGTGACAACCTGGTCTTTGCTAACTGAATGGTCCCCTGATGTGGCCTGCGGGGAATTTGTGAGTATAATCAACAGCTTCGTGGCAAGGGTATCTGAAAACAAAATTCACTGACCCAAAAAAGCTGAAGTCGCTTCTCAGGAGCAGGACCCGGAAATGGATGGCATTGAGGGAATTGGCATAACATGCTCTACATAGCCTCTCCGAACGAGAATAGTTAGAACATCTATACAACACAAATGAACCACTTTGTCAAACTCCTCTGAAAGGATAAAGTAAAGAACAAACAAGACCTTGTGGTAGAGTTTTGCTCTAACCCAAACCTGCTATACAGACACATAAACAAACTTCGCCGCGTTAAGCGCGGAATTCCGGCTCTGCACACAGTATGCGAGTTAGCATAAAAGACACAAGAGGCAGCCACCATTCTTAGACAATAATTTGGCCGTACCTTCCAGAGTGTGCAACCATCCTACACCATGCTTATGAAACTCATGCCGCCATCAGGCCTTAACCACATATCTTTCACAACCGCAGCTGTATTGAAGCGACTGATGTTCTTGCGCGAACACAGCTCCCACTGGTGCACAGGGCATTCACCCGAAGGCGTTGAAAATTGCCGCCTTGAGCCTACCTGAACCCTTAACGAGATGCACATCCCCAAGGTGTGGAAGTACGGTATCATCACTCCAATCTACAAAAGTGATAGCTGTGCAGAACCAGCGAATTATCA